CTGGAGGGGAACTCTGCAGCCCAGCAGTGCCAGCTGAACAAGGGCACAGCTCTGTGGGAAGCTCGGACACCACAGAATGTCTCTGCAGGCACTAGTGGCAGCGGCTGTGCAGCAGGACAGGGGCCATGTGCTCAACCTGGGCACACGTGTTGCCATGGGCAGATCCATCTGGAAATGCCAGCATACAGTGCAGAAAGGAGGTTCCCATTCTTCCTCGCAGGCTGGCAGCCCTGTGGTCTCTGGAGATGCTGACACCAAGGTCCTGACCATTTCAAGCACTCCAGTTCCCCAGGGCCACTGCCAGGGAGCAGGTTGCAGCCTGGAGGGCCATGTCCTGAGCAGATGCTAGCTCCACAGCAGCCTCTGTCTCCGGGCTCCCTCTGCTCCTGGCGGACACAAGTGTCCTGCCTGTGGCTGCATCCTGTGCTGCAGGGTGCTGTGCAGCGCCATGGGTTGCTGGGTTCCCACAGTGCTGGTTACTGACTGTGTTTCACTCTCCACTCCTTCCTGGGGGCACAAGCAATGTGCATTCATGACCAAGAGGTGCCCAGGGAGGAACAGGCAGTGTCAGAGGCACTGCAGCAGAAGCAGATCCAGGCTCCCTCAGGACAGACCCTGGCAGAGGGGTCCATGCAGTCCCCATTGCTGTCTCCTGTGGCAGGGCAGGCAGTGGGACAGATAGTGCTTGTTTCACAGGATCCCTGGGGAACTCTGCATGGGACAGAGGCCAAAGGTGAGCAGAGGGAAATGAATTCACTTATCTGGGGTTTAACTGCTACCAAGCAAAGCTGTGGTGGGGCTCAGTGCCCCACTGCTGCAGCCCCGCAGCAAGAGGTGAGCTGGACTGGGGTGGGCATGGGCAGGGAGGGTGCTCACCCAGCACCTCGTGTGTGGACCTACCCTTTAGAGAGGCTCCACCAGGAGTGCAGGTGTGTGCCCTGTGCAGGCTGAACCCCCAGAGACTTGCCAGCATAGCTCCTGTGCCAGTTGGGCCCCTGGCACAGCAAGAAGTGGCTGTGCCCTGATCCTCAGTGTGCCCATGCTGCAGCCGCTGTCACACACACCTGGCCTCAGCTGGGGCACCCACACCTCAGGCAGCATGAGCAACAGACTAGAGCCTGGAGACAGATGGACAGACCTGCCCATTCTCTTTCGGTATGCAGGTAGAGAGGCACAGCAGAGATCCAGCCCAGGAGATCCGCACATGGGGCAAATTGCTTCTAGCTCATAGGGAAGCAGTGTGTACTTTGCACGTGCTGGTCCCTGTCCGGGCCAGCCAGGTATGTCAACTGCAGCCCTCAATACCCGCAGCAGCACTGCTCCTCCTTGGGTAGTGTGGCACCCCAAAAGCGGGACCTTCCTTATCACACAGCTCCTCCCTGTTTCTGGTGATGCAGCACCCCAGGGCAGTCAGGAGGCTGCCCAGTGCCCCTGCCAGCAGCAGGATATGAGGAATCCATCACACCTGATCCTACCCTGGCTCTCAGAAGGATGTGAGTCACGCCTGAGAAATGGGGACATGTGTTTGTGCATAAGTGCCCTGTCCTAAGCAAGTGGCACTACTGAGCAGGCAGATGGTCCCTGTGGCTGGCCTAGCTGCAGCAGAGCTGCCATGCTACTGCCCTCCCACCTCTGGCTGTGCTGTGTGTCCCACTGCTTCACAGACACCTTCCCATGCGTCACCCAGGCCACTCTCCCTTGCCCAGCCTCCATCCACACCTGAGGGCAGCCCTTCACCCATCCCTTGTCCTGCCTCATCTCTGTGGGGTGCGCCCATGCGCAGGTCCAGCTGTTACTCTGAGGGGGGACAGCCCTACATCCACCCCAGGTCCTGCTGCTCTGGCCTGTCTTCATGCCAGCTTCTGCACTAACCAAGCTGCATAGTGCCCAGGGACCTAGTATCCAGGAGGATCTTCACACATCCTCACACCCAAGGCTGCAATCCCTAGGAGGGAGAGGAGGAGGAGGCACAGAGAGACCAACTTCCCCTGCAGTCTCAGGGAGCTGGTGACTACTCAGCCACCATGATGTCACTGTTGATAATAGCATGATGCTCTGTAGGAGCTGCCCTGGTGTCAACACACAGAGGAGTGGTGGCATCAGGCTTCACGTGTGTGGGCCACGAGTGAACAGCACAGTGCAGTGAAGCCAAGAGCTATCCTCCTTCTTCTCTCCCTCCTCTTTCTCCTCCTCCTCCCTGAGCTCATCCAGCTGCTTTTGTCAGCCAGGAATGGTTGCCTGGCCCAAGCATCTTCTCAGGGTGACAAGTCTCACCTCCCAGGCTTCCTCTGGGAGTGAGGCCAGCTAGGTCCAGCCAACTTGTGACTTCAGGAGCGGTCACAAACTGTTGGATGTGGGGACAGTGGGATGGACACGGGTCTGTGGGTGTCAGAAGTTCCCAGGAGAGGAGGCATGAGGCCATGAAAGCTCTAGAAGGGAAGAAAGGGGGCCCAGGATGCTCCTCTCTGCCTGCTGCCAGGCTCCAGCAGCCTCTGCGGCCCTGCGCTGCTGGTGGGTCTGTGCTGCCACGACAGCAGGGTAATGCCTGCCCTGCACTCTGCTGCTGTGCCCAGGGGAAGGGCCGTGCCTCAAAGGAGATTGAATTCTCCCTGCCTGGCACTACAGTCAGGTCCCTACCCTTGAGTCAGACAGGTGTCCTGACCGGTTTCAGACACATGCTTGCACAATAAAATTCCATAATCGGTATTTGACATTATGTTTAGCATCTCCAAAGGGAACCCAAAGGACTCTTGCCCCTCCTCCCCTTGCTGCACTGGGTCCCTGGCTGGGGAAGCCTCTAGGACCTGTGCACTCACCCAGGCCTGGTGCAGGTTCATCCCATCTACTGGATGATGTGCCCCCCTGTGCTGGCACAGAACACACAACAGCACCTGTGGTTGCTGCAAGCCAGTGAGATCACCCACTCACCTGCCCCATGCCAATGCACTGGGCAGCCACCCACAGTCCTCCCAGAGCCAGGCCTGGAGCCAGAGCCCCTGGTCTCTCTGAGGGGTTTGTAAATCTCTCCTTGCTGCGCCACGTGGAATAAGGTCTGCTTGGAGTCTGTGCTTGACTGGCTGCATGCCCACCTTACCCCCGGGGAGCCCCAGGGGTGCTGTGTGGGTGCAGCAGGGCTGGGGGCTCCCTGCTGCACTGGCACTTGGCAGTAGGTCACTGAGGATGTGACAGGGTCACTATCTGGGGGGAATGGAACCAGGCATGTTGGAGACCTGTGGGAACAGAGGCAAGATGAGTGCTACTGCAAGTGCCGAAAGCTGTGCACCCAGCACCCAAGACTGCTTTATCCACACAGCTCAGCATGCTTCTGTGGCTGGGTGCTCCGTGTAGGAAGGCCCAGTGCTGCTGCTGGGCGAGGGGCTGGGAAACAAACTTGATGCCCCTCCACTAGCTCAAGGTTGGCAGTGGGGTCCCCCCCACACTCCAAAGGCAGGAGAGCTGCTGCCAGCTATGCTGCCTGATGACCAGGAGCTGGGTATGTGCCGGTGCCTGCTCCCATGTGACAGCAGAGCTGCAGGGGATGCAGACCTCTGAGTGTGCTGGTGCCTGCTCCCAGAGGGGCTATGTGACAGCAGAGCTGCAGGCGGGGCAGACCCCAAACCAGCACAGGGCTCATCCAGAAAGTGAAATGAGGTTGCTGCTGAGGCTGGCAGAGAGTGGCGTTGTGTGGGGGGGCACAGTGCTTGGAGGGGGATGGCTTTAGCTCAGTTGCTTGGGAATGGGCTGCCATGCTCCAGTGGAGTCTGATGCTGCTCAGGGCTGAAGAGTGGAGAGCTGCTGAGGAGCCAAGGGGAGCAGAGGGCTCTGGGACTCCAGTACAGCTGAAGACCCACACTGTCAAACAGTGTGGAGTGAGATATCTGAACCAACAACACTCTCAATATGGAAACCTTCAAGGTATCTCCACCACACCCCATCTTTCTCGCCTTTCTGGGTCCTTCCTGTGTCAGGGGATGATGTGGTCCTGCTCCATCTCATGCATCTCCGCAGGTTGCTGGGAACTCCCAGAGGAGCAGTGAACTGAATCCCTGTGACCTGCTCTGAGGAAAGTCCCTTGGTCTCTGCCGGTCAGGGCAGGGAGCAGCACCTGGCAGTTGTCTGCTTTGCAGAACTCACAGCACCTCTGGGTGACAGCAGGAGCTTAGTCCTCTCCAGTGAATACTTCTGGCCTTTGCCCAGAAACAAGATTAAATGCAACAAAGCCTGTCCTCTGCCGAGCAGGGCTGCAGCTTGGGGTTCCATGGGATCCTCCTGATAGTCCGACACCCGGGCTTGTCTGTCCTGGCACTGCCGTCTAGGATGGGAGGACAAGGATACCACAAGCACCTTCTGAGCTGGAACGAGCACTGTGGGGCAACACATCCCCAGGGACCCCTGGCAGGTGGGGGGCTCTGAGAGTGCCCTGGACATTAATCCTGGGGGATATCAGGGAGAAGCTCAAATAGTCCTCCAGAGCATGCAGGGGCACCCCACGGTGTGAACCCCCGGGCAGGAGGTGCTGGTGACTCTCTGTCCCGCATCCCATCAGCCAGGGGTGCAGCAGCTTCTGTGGGCGGGAAGTCCCCGCGCCCGGACTGCAGCCGGTCCGGGCTGGGCGAGGGGACGCTCTGCGGGCAGCGATACATCCGTAGCGGGTGTGCCACCGCAGGCGGGCCAGACCCGAGTTCCCCGGCACCGGCGTGGAGACCGGGACAGAAGGGAGCCCGGAGCCTCGGGGCATGGCACGGCGGCTCGGCTCCGCACACAGGCCTGGGCCGGGCCGGGCCGGGCACCGGGACCCCCCCTCTCCGGCGGGGCGGGGCCGGGCCAACGGCGGCGGGGCGGGGCGGTGGGAAGCAGCGGGGCTGCGGCGCTGCCAGGAGCGCGGGCGGGAACGGAGCCGAGTCGAGCCGAAGCGGGCCGGACCGGGAGGCAACGGAGTGGGGCCGGGCGGGAGCGCAGCCGAGCCAAGCGCGGGGCCGCGCTGCCCCGGACGCCCTTTGTTGTCTCGGTCGCCGCTGAGCCCCGGCCGCAGCAGCGCGGGCCTGGCGGGCGGGATGTCCCAGGAGAGCCTCCTCGGGATGGACGAGGGAGCGCTGCGGAAGCTGGTGAGTCCCGCGGCGGGAGGACCAGGGCACGGTGCGCGCTCGCGGCGGCTCTGGGGGCCGATCGGTGCGTGCCTGGGGGTATCTCGGCTCCCTGAGCCCCCCAGGCCGGGGTAGGCTGTCCCAGGCGCGGGCAGAGCGGGACCGGGCGGGCCGTGGGTCTGCCGCTCGGCCGGGGCATTCCGGAGCCCGTGTCTGGGAGTGACTGTAAGCGGTGGGGGTCCCGGGGCGGCAGCACCCGGAGGGGCCCGCTCTGGCTCGGGCCGGGGTCTGAACCCAAGTGAGCTCCAGCACGAGCCCTCGCACTGCCCCGGTGACTCTGGCCCCACCGCTCTCGCCGCGCTTGGCTCTTTGCTCGCACCGCGTACCGCCTATCCCAGCTCCATCTCCTCGGCTGGCGGATCCCGGGAAACCGTTCCCTGCTGCTGGCTAGGTTCCTTGCTCCCCGCTCTCCCGGTGCGGGCTCCTGCTCTGCCCGGGGCTGGCGCGGTGCCAGGCGCACCTCCCGGGCTCTGCCCGCATGGCCGGGCATCCCATCCCCTCCTGCGCGGCGGCTACTAGAGCACCGGCCGGGCACTGCCCCGGGAGCCAGAGCCGGAGCAGGGCCCTGCTGCGGGCGATGGGCTATGGGGGAGGAGGGCCCGCGTGTCCCATAGGCGGAACTCAGGGTTCTGGGCTGCGACCTGCTCAGCCGGGGCTAGTGTCCCGGGAAGCCCCTACAACGTCCTGGCCGGCTTCGGGGACCCCCAGGGATCCCCGGCCCGGGGCTGGGCTGTGCTAGCTGCCCCGGAGGCTGAGCCAGGGTGGCCCGGGCCAGTGCTGGGGAATGGTCACGGCAGGAAACTGAGTCAGCCAGGAAGGCCAGTCTGCGGGAACAGGAAAGAGTTGGGATGCCGGCGGGAAGGGGGAGCTGTGCTGTAGGTCGGCACGGGGGCTGCCCCCGGCCGAGCCTCCTGCTGTGCCACCCTCAGCCAGCTCTGGGTGACGACAGGTAGACCTACCCGTGGCTCGTGGACTCAGGAGCCCACTGCTCCTCGTGGGATGATGTTGGGGTCGACAGATCATCCCTCCGGAGGTGTGGGGATGGGTGGTTTGGGTTTCTCCCCATCCTGCCAATGCTACAGCTCTGCCATGTCCTAGCTGGGGTCTCCGGGCTGAAATGGAGCCCCAGGAGTGGTAATGGGTGCCGGGTCTCCGGCCAGTCTAGGGAGGTACAGCAAGCACTGCTTCTCTCTGGGCTTTTTCTTTGACCCACTGGGCCTTTGCCTTCTGAGACTACCCTGCTTGTGACCCAGGTCTCCCTGTGCTGTGCGGCACAGTCTGGGGAAAGCCTGCTCTGGGCTGACATGAGGCAGGGAAGGAATTTTTTTTTCTGATTATGTTTTTGGCTCCACTCAGCTGGAAGAGGATTAGTCCATATAAGGGAAAACTGCCTTTCCCACCGCTTTCTCCCTGCTCCTCTGCCCTCACAAGCCCTCCACTCTGCCTTGCTTTCCTTCTTTCTCCCAGCAAGTGACACCTTGGCAGCAGCCTCTGATGTCCCCAGGGATACTGAAAGAAGGAGGATAGAGGACATGAGCCAATCCCTGCAGCCCCCTCACCCTTGTGCTGGCTGGGCTGGGAGCTGCTGGGGACCGTTTGCCTCCCAACTCTTGCCGTAGGCATCCACATGGGTCCCTCTCCAGCTGCCCACTTGTACCCCACACCCAGAGAAGCCAGTTGGGATCAACCCGTGGGGCAACATAAAAGTGACTAAGGGCTTGGAGGAGCCTGGGGAGGGAGCTGTGGAGGATGGGGTGTGTGCTGCTGCAGGGTGGCCCTTAGGTGGATGTCTGGAAACAGGGGGTTGTTTGAGCGCTCAGGGCTGTGCTGACCTCCAGGCTGTGGGCTGCTGACCTTGGGCTAGGGAATACTCCCCTCTCCCAGCCCCTCCAAATCTCAGTCTGGTTAGTTAGTGAGGTTGCAAAGCCCCTTGGGGGCAGAAGCAGGGCAGGCTTGAGCTATGAAGGTCACTGCCATGAGGTCCCCTTCTTACACCCAGCAGCCTTTGGCAAAGGCTTCAGTGACCCTGAGGAGCACTGCATCCCTGCCACATCTGTTACCCAGTGTCCTTTCTGCTTTCCTCTGCCCAGAGGCAGCCACGCTCCCCATGGCTCCTTCCAAGGGTGACAGTGAACCTTGGGGCTGCAGAAGGTGCTCAATGTGGCCAACTACTGTCCCTAGAGAGGTTTCCCTGTGGCCAGGGTTCAGCTTCCCAAGTGCTGTGTGCTCAGGCACTCCAGAGAGCAGGGCTAATGGCAGCCCTCCTGGAAGAGATGCCTGCTGTGCCAGGGCTCTGAGTGCCACTGTTTTGGGTGCCAGTGAGGAAGCAGCCCATGGGTGCCATGCCAGTGCCTTTTCACAAAGCCGCTCTGTGTGCTGAGGTGGGTGTTTGCTCAGAACCATTAATTTGCTGGTGGCTGGGCAGGGCCTGTGGGGCCCTGGCATGTGCCGATCCCTGAGCTTGCCTGTGCTGGCAGGACTGGGCCCCTTGGTCCCTTCCCAGCCTTGTGGTTTCTGGCATGCTTTCCCCCGCCACGGAGCTACCAAAGCTACTCATTTGCCTCATCCCAGCTCCCTGCTGACATGGCACAAGGCATTTTCTCCTGCCCTGCTGCCATTTGTCCCATGGACAGAAGCTTTTCGAGACCAGGGTGCACGTCAAGTCCCAGCTGGAGCCTCCTGGACAGGGCAGATCCCAGAGCTGGCAGATGGGTGTCTCACAGCACACATGGGTGCCAGTGTGTTCCCTGCACCAGGGTGTGCAGGGCTGGTATTCCATTGTGTCCCCCTCTTCCTGGCACTCTGTGCTTCTGCAGCTGCTGTGCACACCCCTCTTCTTCCCCCACCCCCACCACCTCCCCTATTGCCCTGACCCAGCTGCTGGGGCCAAGCCACTCACTGCCAGCAGCTTATTTAGGGAAGGGCCGGGGCATTGGTCACGCAGTGTGCGGTTGAGGACTGTTTTCCTGTCCTCAAAGCCTTTGGATGACTGGAGGGAGAGCCGTCTTTGCCTCGTCCTTGCCCTGGAGCTCTGCCTCCAGTGCCTTGTTTGGAACTGGACATGGTTCCACCACTTCCTAGCCCATCGACGCTGCCCCATGCGAGGAGAGCTGAGCTTCCCGGCTGGCCAGGGTGGCCACCATTGCTGTTGGACAAGCTGGGGAGAGGCTGTGTCTCGGTGCCTTTGTCCTGGCAGTAGTGTGCCTGCTGCAGCAGCATCCCCAGGGTGCTGGCAGCCATCCAGGACAGATGGGAAATGAGAGGCCCGTGAGGATGGAGGGGCTGGTTTCCTCTCCAACAACCCCCTGCCCTGGTGGCACAGTGGCTCCTGTTCTTCCCAGCCCTTGTGCTGGTGGAGATGCCTGCTCTGGACAAGAGCCCGGGGGCTGTAGGCTCCAGCTGGAAGGGATGGCACTGCCAGCTGGCATGGCGGGGGCTGCTGGAGTGGGAGGGAGGGAGCAACCTTGGTCCAGGCAGCTCCCCCAGAGATTATATGTGTTTTCAGCATTGGTCTGCCCTGGGAGTTGATGGTTCCAGCCACCAGCATCTTACCAGCTGGGAAAGGATAATGCTCCCAGTTGGGCCTTGATGGGTGGCAGTACTACAGTTTTGGCTGCTGCTGGGGTGGCACATGGCATCTCTGTGCCTGTTCTGTGCCTGCTGGCTTCATTAGGATAAGAATACCCTCCCTGATCCCCAGCCTCTGAGCAGGGAGGGCAAAGTCCCATGGCTTCTCAGGGGCTCTGCAGGGGGGTCTGTGTACAGGCGGTGGTTTGGGGCCCTCCATGTGGCTCAGCTTGGGTCCAACTGAGGGACCAACCCTGGATCCCTGCTGCAGCAGAACCTGAAGAGCCCGGATGGGTGGCCTGTTAATGGCCTGTGGGACAGGAAGGGAGGGGACTGACGCTCTTGTCCTGTGGCATAGCTGTGGCTGCTCCCAGTGTGCTGAGGCTTGACGCTGACAGCAGCTGCTATGGGCCATGGGGTTTATTTTTCATGAGTTCCATGGGAAATCACCTCCCAGGTTCCCAGCATCGGGTCAGTGGGAGGATAGCAAGGCCTGGCTGGCTTTTCCCTGCAGATCTGGCTGCCTTCTGCCCCTTCAACATCATGATGGGGGCTATGCACAGCCTCCTGAAAGAACTGGGGCTGGTAGCAGGGCTGGACTGAAAGAGGAAAAACAACACTGGGTGCCAGGTCCTGCCCTTGGGTGGGCTAAGGAGCACCCGGAGCACCTGTGAGATGTTCATCAGGGGCATCTGAAGGGGAGTTGTGGCCCTGCTTCCCACACATAGAGGACTGGACTTTGATTTAGGACAAATCCCACTTATGAGTTTGTCTCCAAGAGCCACCTGCCATCCTCTAGCACTGAATGAGGATGGGGAGGGCTGCAGGGGGCTAGGAGGAGCCCTCGATGGAGTGCTAGGACCCTCCCAACCAACACGTCCTGGGGACCATGGGGATGGGAGGAAAACAGGCTCTGCTGTCCCTCAGCTGCTGAAGGGGCTGGCATGAATGGGAGAGCTCGTTCCAGAGCTGATGGCACTGGGAGGGGGCAGAGCTGCAGGACACCAACCCTTGGGGGCTGCAGGGACCACTGGTGGGTGTTCATTTCACTTGCCCATCTCTTTGCCCCTCACATGCTGGAGGTCTCAGTGCCACCCTGGCAGCCCCTCCTTGCCACGGCTGATCCCAGCATCCTGCCCCGGGGGGGCCATGCCCGCTCCCCACAGGGCCTGGCAGTGTTGGGCAGCATGCACTGGGCACGTGGGCACCACAGACAGACAGCTCCTTTGTCTGGAGCGTGGGCAGCCCATGGCAGCACGGCAGAGGGTGGCACCAGGGCTGAGAAAGGGGCTCAGTGGTCAGAGCCGGTGCTGAGCCCTGCCGTGTGCATGCAGCTCGAGGCCACGCTGGACCTGGCTGAGCGGCGCCGCATCCGTTCGGCCATCCGGGAGCTGCAGCGGCAGGAGCTGGAGCGAGACGAGGAGGCGCTGGCATCCAAGCGCTTCCGCCCAGAGCGCGGCAGCCACAGACAGGACGACAAGGAGAACTGGCCACGGTGAGTCCAGTGGGGAGCCGGGGTCACCCACTGCCTCTGCCCTGGGAGATGGGGGCTGCGGTGCCTGGCCTCACTGTGGCTGGCACGGATTTGGGTGAGCTTGAAGGTGGGAGCAGCCTGGCTCCGAGCAGCTTGGCACATGTTGGGGCCCATTGCCTGGATCTGCCAGCTGCCCACGAGGGGACTTTGCTCCCAAGTGCCCACGCCAGCTTCTGTCTGGCTGCCACTCTTGCCCTGCTCAGGTCTCAGCACCTGGAGGAGGAGCAGCAGGCAGCCCTGGCCGCCTTGTCCCAGGAGCTCGAAACAATCACCAGCGTGGAGGAGCTGACAAAACTGGTGAGTGACCATGTGCTGGGGCAGACTGCATGCCAGGATGGACCCTGCGCTGGGGCTGACCCTGCCTTTCTCACGGGTCCTTCCCTCTTGCAGCTGCGGGCAGCGGGTGAGTACGAGGAGCGCAAGGTGATCCGAGCTGCCATCCGTAAGCTGCGGGCTGAGGAGATCGAAGGTGAAGCACTATTCCCGTGTTCTGGGGTGGCTACTCTGGAGAGCCTGGGATGTGGGCAGCTCCTTCCTGAACAGTACCTTTGCTCCCATCCAGCCGCGACACTGGCTGGGAATGTGCAGAGCAGCCGGAGGGATGGCAACGAGCCCTGCACTGTGCCTGGGGATGCGAAAAGTATCCAGAGGGACAATGCTGAAACACCAGCCCTTACTGGGAGTGGGGAAAGCCTTGGTGAGGGCAGCACCAAGCCGCTGGGCACAGCCAGGAGAGGGGAGAGCAGCCATCAGGACAATGCAGAACTGCTGGCACTGGCTGAGCTAGAGGAGAGTGGGCACAGGGGGGCTGCTGAGCAGTCCCCTGCCCAGGAGCCCCAAGTTTCGGCGGTGAGTGTGTACGGTGCTATGGGGGACAGGACCTTGCTGAAGACCTTGCACTTCCCTGGGGTTCCTGTGTGTCCGGAGCACAGAGCCCCAGGTAAGCTGTGCTTGCCCGCCCAAGGAAACTGTGGCAGGTGGGCCTGGGGTCTCAGGGGAGAGGGAGGACATGGCTGAGCTATGCCAGCATGACTCCAGCGGTGGTGAGCTGGAGCTGGGGCCTCAGGCCTGGGTGCCCCTTGGCTTCTGCCAAGGATGCAACCTGGCAGGGTTCTGGGGGCCCCTTGGTGCACGTGGTACACCCCTCCCTGCTCTGGCTCTTGGGGACAAGGCTCTTTGGAGGCAACAGCCTCTCTTGTGGCAGCTGCCTGCAGCAGTCTCCCTGCACAGCTAGAAACATTGAGCTCCCATCCTGTGATGACTGTTCCCGCCATCCATCGAGGGGCCAGGGCTCATTCCGCAGTGAAGTTGGGGGCTTTCTGGATGGGGAAAGGATGAGCTGGTAGGCAGGGCTGGAGGGAATGGGCACAGGCAGTGGTTTTCAGTGCAGCAGAGGTGACTCCCGCAGGGACTGCGTGGTGGTAGGAGATCCCTGCACCCAACCTTGCGGGGTTGACCTTTGAGGGCAAGGGTGGGAAGGGAAGAAGCAGTGGGTATAACTGCAGACAGGGAGGAAGGCATGAGTTCCCCCATCTGCCTCCATCTAACCCTGCTTCCCCCTCCACCTGCCCCAGAGCCATAGCAGGAGGCTGCAGAGGGTATGTGGCCCTGTGCCACCTTTCAGCACTCTCTGCCTCCCCATCCGGATGTGCTGGCACACTACCCCCAGTCCTGGCTGTGCTGGGACATCTCTGAACAGCTGGCAGGGCTGTCTCACTCTGTCCAGCTGATACTCCAAATCCAAGGCCATTTCCATCCCTGGGCTTGGGACCTGGTTCCCCTGAGGGTATGGTCCTACCCCCCTACCCTGGAGTCATGGCAAGGGAAGCCCACAGTGCTGCTAGAGGCACTGGCACAGCCAGGACTGGCACCCTGTTCCCTGGCTGACACCAGGACACCCTGGCCGACACCAGGACACCCTGGCCCTGCTCACATGTGTTTCAGGGACACACCTGTCACCTGTGTGTGGACCTATGCCCAGAACATCCCATCATTTGCCAAGCAGAGCTGCAGGTGCCATGGGCAGAGACAGGGTAATGTGAAACTGGGTGCTCCCTGGATCATGAAGCCCTGGAGTGCCTGGGCTGAGGGCATGGGGCAGGAACTGTCTTCTCCCACCTGCTGGCATCCACAGTGATAAGGCTGGTGTGCTTGGGGCAGCTGCCACAGAGGGACCCAGGTGCCAGCTCGTTGCTCTGTGCCCTGGTGCTGATCAACCTCCAGAGGAATACCAGGAACCTCAAAGGTGCGCAGGGTTTGGGGCCCTGCTTCAGTAGACACAGTGTCCCTGCCCACTGGAGGCAGCAGCATGTGGGGACACTTGTGATTCCCCTGCCAGCCTCCTGCACTGACCCCTGTGCAGGGACTGGCTTGTCCATCCCCAGCAACATGCAGGCAGGGACCTGGATAGCATGGGAAGAGGCCACAGCTTGCATGTTCCTGGCTGAGTGGCAGGGATGGGACACAGTCAGGGACTGGAGCGGGGCTGGTTCTGCTCTCACCTCCTGCTCTCCCCAGGACCATGAGCGAGAGGACATGGTGGAGCAGGAGCATGTCCCAGCCAGGATGCAGGAGCTGTGCAGCCAGCAGGCGGGAGACCCCCAGAAACCCAGTGTCCAGGGTGAGTCCCCAAAGATGCCCATGGCAAAGCCCTGTCTAGGTGCATGCCCGAGGCCAGAGCTGTGCCTAGCCAGCTACAGAACAGTGGAGGGCACATCTCCCAAATGGTGGGCAGGGGAGCCAGGTGCCTGGAGGGACTGCAGGAGCAGGGATGCACTGCAGGCAGCTTCAGGCTTCTCCGAGCAGAGCCTCTTTTTTTACTCACAGAAGTGGTGTCGGAGACCCTTGTGCTTCTGGAGCTGCAGCCGGCCCCAGAGCCCAATCCAGAACCTGAGGATGGTGTTCAGGAGCTGGAGCAGGGCCAGCCCCAGAGGCAGCAACAGGCAGCCTGGAAGGCAGGGAGCCTGGACAGCCCAGCCAGTGCTGCAGAGCCCAGCAGGAGGCAAAGCCCTAGAGGGGAGCAGCCACCCCTGGGCCAGCCTGGTGCTGCCAGCCAGGTACAGAAATGGTAGCAGCTGCCACTGTCCTCCTTGCCCAGGGCTGCTGGTCTGTGTGCGAAGGCAGCTTAATAGGGGGACTGCATGCAACCCTCAGCTGAGCGCTCTGCCCCTCTCCTCCCACAGCTCCATGTTGGGGTGCGCTGCCAGGCACTGGGGCCAGATGGGAGACAGGGGAGGCCACCAGTGGGTAAGTGCAGCCTTTGAGAGGGATGGGGAGGAGACATGAGGGCTGTGGCCCCCTGCCAGGGGGGCAGTGCTGCCCCAGAGCCCCCCACCCCCTGCTCCCCTGCCCTGCAGCATGCACATCCCAGGCAGCCCTGGCGATGTGACTCCAGCCCACACATGCTGGAGCAGGAATGTGAGTGCAGGACATGGCCAGGCCAAGGGCCACCCCTAGGCTGATTCTGCCCAGCCAAGTGGTGGTAGTGCCCACTCTGGCCACGGAGCTGGGTTCTAGGCGTGCTGTTTACCAGGCCCTCTCTCTGGCAAGGTGGCCACAGGGCCATGAAAGGGAATCGGTGCAGCAGCAAACCCCGGCCTTTTGCATTCCTTGTCCCAATAAGGCTGAGAGCAATGTGTGGCTGGCTCTGACCACCCCCTCCCTCACCCGGGCATAGCACCCTCTGGGGCCTCCCCGCAGCCCTGGGGGATTCCGGTGGCCAGCAGCTGCCCTCTTCCTACTGCTGGGAAAACCATCCCCATGGCTGTGCCAGGAGGAAACAGAAAACCCAAAAAGCAGTTCTCTGCTCCCAGGGTCAGGGTTTCCTCTTGGAGCTGCCCTTGCAGGCAGAGATCCCCTCCCTCTGAGGCTCCCCTGGGGACTGCTGGCTCCTGGGAAGGCAGAAACCCTGGGAAGATGCTGGGCTCCAACATGGCACAGCCCAGGGTGCAGGGAAGCGTGCAGGACCTGCCCCCCCTTGCATCACAGGGGACTCAAACCTGGGTTCTGAGGAGAGGCTGAGCTTACCTCCCACCCCCAGCTCCATGGGCATCACTGACTCCAGCCCCAGAGCAGAACCCTGCCTGCACCCTCGAAGGCTGAGCCACCCAGCTCCCTCACCCTCCCCTCCAGAGACAATGCTAGGGCCTGGCAGGGATAGGGGTCATCCCAACCTTTTGGCACAGACCCCAGGTACCCCCCACTGCCTTGCTGGGCACAGATCCTGCCGTCCTCTGCAGTGTAGTTTGGCGCTACAGGGCAGAGCCCATGCCTGGCGTGTGGGGCAGCCTACAGGTGCTGGCAGATTTTGGCACTATGCACTGGGGAGTACGGCGTGAAGGGGAGGGGGACTCCAGGGTGCTGTACTGTGGGGATGGCAGCAGCACCCTGTGCTGTGCTCACTCTCTGCTCTGTTTGTCCTGTTCCTTGCCCATCTGTGCTGTCTCTTCCCAAGCGCCAGTGTCCACCCAGGATCTAGTAGGGACCCCAGCTCGCCTGAACACTCACCAGTGGGAGCAGGTGCCCTCCTCCTTGTGCCCAGCTGGCCCCACGGGTAAGATCTCAGTGGTGCCTGCCTCTGTTCTCTGCTTCCTGCTGGCAGGAGATTCCTGGTGGAGCCTTGGCAGACATGGAACTCCAAAGTACCGGGACGCTGCAGGATGCTGCTGGCCACCCACTTGCTCTTTCGCTCCCTGCCCAGCATCCCTCCTTCCCTCCCTCCCATCCATGTCCGCAAGCACCTGGCCCTGGCAGGAGTGGGGAGAGGGGGCAGAGACTTTGAGGGGCTGCAGCCATCTCGGGGGGTGATGCATGTGTAGTGGGGTCTCTTTGGGGCAGTAATGCATCTTGTGGGCACTGTGGAGAGCTGCATGCATGGTCAGACACCCCGGGGCGTTGTGCATCGCGTGGGCAAGCTGGGGGGCTGCATGCACGGTGTGGCACCCTGGGGTGGGGGCAGCATGCTTCTTGTCGGCATGCCGGGGGCTGCATGCACGGTGTGACACCCTGGGGTGGGGGCAGCATGCATCGCAGCAGGCACCGCAGGATGGGGGGGTAGCGTGTATCGCAGGGGGCACCCCGGAGGGCTGCATGCACTGTGCGGGACCAAGCAGGGGTCGCAGTCCCGGTGGGGTCACCCGCGGACGGCTGCAGCCCGGTGACCCCGCGCCCATCCCCGCAGCGCCACGCTCCGCCGGACCCCCGCCGCCCTCCGCCGCCGGCTCGGTGCGGGAGCGCGCGCAGCGGTTTGGGCCGGCGGGGGCGGGCGGCGCGGGGGGGCGGGCCGGGACCGGGGCCGGGGCCGCCCAATGGCAGCGGGGGCCCCGCACGGCCCCGCCGGCGCCCGCTCAAAACGCGCGGGGCAGCGGCGGCGCAGAGCAGCGCTCGGCTCCGCGCCCCGCCGGCCGCCGCCTCGACGCCATGAAGACCTTCTTCACCATCGAGATCAAGGATGGGCGTGTGCAGCCCCTCGCGCCCCGCATCACGGCCGCCCCCAGCAGCCAGCGGGCAGGTGGGCACTGATGGGGTATGGGGCGAGCAGGATGGGTCAAGTGGGCAGCTGGCATGTGCCAGGGGGCTAGACGCTGTAGGAGTGATGGGCATGGTGGGTGGCACTCAGGGAGGTGGGACTGGGAAAGGTGGGCGTCTGTCAGGAAAGTGGGTACCACAGTGGAATGGGTGCCAGCAGGGCCATAAGCACTGCGGGACCATGCTCCCGATGGGACTATGTGCACAGCTTGGCAGTGGTGCAGGTGGGTGCCAGTGGACAGCCAGGCACTGAAGGATGGTGGGCACTAATGGGCAGGTGGAGGCACAGGTGGAGGCAGGCGGGCAGTGCTAGGCCAGGCTGGTGCTGATGGGCAGCAGCAGCTGCTGACAGCCCAGAGGCTGAATACGGGTGTTGCCAGAAGATCAGAGCTTGCCTGGCAGCCGTCACCCCTTGGCAGGCACACTCGGCCTACTCAGGGCATCTCAGTCCAGAGAGACCACCTGGTCCTGCAGCCTGTCCCCAGCCCTACTGTCCTGATATGTCTATGCTCGGGCTCATTCCCAAATCCCTGCCCTGCCCCCACAGCCCTGCCCCATCCTCTGTCACCACTGAACTGCTGGCTCAGGGGAGCCCATGCTGTCCTGGTGTGTCCTGTTCCACTGCTGTGCTGTGTTTGCTCCAGCCCTGCCCCAATCCTGCCTGCTTGCAGACGTGGGATGCTCCTGTGGCCATCCAGGGAGTCTTGGATCCATCTGGAGCACTGTGGAAAGTGCCCTTCCTTGGGAGGAGGATAAGCCAGGGTGGTGAGGGGGGCCTGGCTTTCCCATCCCTTGCCTGTCCCCAGAGCCCTTTCCCTGTGCCAGAGCTTGGTGCTTGCTGTCAGGGCAGGATGTGTGGGGCAGCAGGGCTGCCCAGCTGGAGCCAATCCCCATCCATGGAGCTGAGCCTGCCAGGCTGGGGCCGACCCCACATGCTTCTTCCTCCCCTTGCAGAGGTGACCCTGGGGCTGCGGAGCACCCCCATCCGCATCACCACCATCCCCAGCAGTGTCAGCAGTATCTGCAACATCAGCAGTGTCAGCAGCAATGTCACCAAGGTAAGTGCCCAGGGGGCCTTGGTGCTGTGGGGCCGTGTTCCACCTGGGCATCACCTGACAGCTCTGGGGCTTGGGGGTGGGGACCAGGGACCAGCAGGGTGGCAGCATGTTCTGGGGGCTCCGGCTGATTTTGATTGGTGCATTTGTTTTCTTTTGGTTGGGTTTTTTTTTCCATCAAGAGACCCTTGGCTTTGTGTGTGGTTGCACAGCCCCACATGAGTCTCCTGCACTCTGGACTGTGCCACCATGTACCCACAGTTGGGGAGGGGGAGCGAAGTGAGCTGGGAGTCTTTTTTGGATCTCCGTCTGTTTTAAACGTGGCAGCAACTCAGGGAAAAACCCATTGCCGCCCACTCCTGGTTTTCCTCCTGGGGATGGACCTTGGCCGTGGCACTGGGGAGCCTGCCTTGGG